TTTCTTATAAATTGCTTGAATTGCTTTGTTAAAATTTTCACCAAAGTCCATTTCTTGAAGTTGTTGAAACATAAATTGCCAATTTAAGTTATCAAAGGCTTTTTGTGCATCAAGAAATATAAGTGCCATCTGGTTCCCTGGATGAATTTCATAGTATTCCAAGACATTTAAAATAATCCTCAAGTTGTTCTTTATCTGTTTTTTTGGTAGGAAACCAGAACCATGTTTTTTTGTGATGGGGGAAGGAGGCTCCTCCAATTTACAACCAGAAGCAATATCTCTACTTGTACCTTGTTTATAATTTCTGCCACAACCATAGCACTTGAAGATCACAGAGATCCAGATCTTCTTTTAAGCAAGACTCAAGGAGAAGATTTTGGCCCAACACTAAAAAGACAATACTGTAGTTTAACCTTTCTGGGTTTCTATTGCTGAAGAGACTTACTCTCAAATATCTCAGCATGGCACTCTCAGATATGCTCTGAATTAGAAGTCCTTTTTCAGATATTATGGCCCCCAATAACAAAGAGCTTTCTAGCTTAACATTAGCACTTTAAATTGGATCCAGAAATTAAATGGAAAATAATGAAAATAATGTACCAACAGTACAATATAATCATAACACTCATTAAAGCCAGTTTTCCAGCTGTCACATTTTGTACTTGGAAGTTTCTGAACTGCGCCCCACATTGCAGTAATCAAAATGAACGGTTTTTAGGACGTCAGTCATTAAGAGCATCAATATAAACTATAGCAATAGCTTCAGCCGGTAAAAGTTGCTCCTTGCTACAGAGGAAACTAATGAAGCTAATGACAACTATAAAGCTTTGCAAGTGTCTATAGATCCAAATTTACCATCTCTGAAGCTGGGGGGAAGTGTTGTTTGTTTGATTTCAAGTTGGATATCACTTATCTGTAATAAAAATCAGGTCTTCATATTATATGTCACAATTAATAACTGGAACATACCTGGTGATCCTAGCAAGCCTTTAGTACCTGGCAAACCATCTAATCCAGGAAGTCCTCTGATCCCATGCACACCTTCCAAAAGTACAGCAAAATCAGTATTATTTACAAATTTAAGTAACATATAATACAGAATTCTTTGAAAATTTTTGCTGAGTTTCAAAATGATAAAAAATTTTAAGCCAGGCTAATGTTACAACTGCTATGCTATTGTAACACCATTGGTAACAGAAGTTGGAGCACACACTACTGAGCCAAATGCAGGAAAATGCAAGAAAAAGCTAGTTGCATAAATTTAATTTTGTATATGGATGAAGCCTGACAAGGAGACTCACAGGCAGATAATTATTGCAAGTACTAAAAAAAAGCCCTTAACGACAAAGAAAAGCAGCTACAGCAAACTGTAAGATACAGCAGACATAGATTCAGCTCTTATATCTCTTTCCCCTGCCCATGTATCATAATGGACTGAGAGTCACTGGTATCTCAGTAAAAGGAATGTTTGACACCTCTGCCAAGATGATGCCTCTATTACTAGACTTCAGGTTCTTTGCTTCTGACTTTTCCTGTCCTGGTCCTTACAAAGCTGTTCTGCCAATGGAATGGATTCTTAAAACCTAGCCCATCCTTTCATAGACTTTCCCAAAATAATTCCACAGGGTTGACAGAATTTCTTAAACGGATATGAAACACAAAAAGAGAGAAATTGCCACTGAATGTAGCCCATAACATATTAGTAGCAACTCTATTGACAGAATTTAATTTACCTTTTCTTCCTGGAAGGCCAATGTTTCCAACACTTCCTTTGTCACCAGAAGATCCAGGGAAACCTGGATCTCCAGATGCACCTTGTTCCCCAATCTGCCCTGGGAATCCTACAGAACAAATAAATATATATACATTAAAGTATTAGTGTATTTCTCCAATAATGGTAAAACAAATCAATTTTTGCAAGAATCCCTTGTTTATTATTTTAACACTGAAAACCGATATAATGGGAAATAGGCTATGCCACATTTGTTATGTTTAGCTTATGTAACTGAGTCTGCAAGGTGCTCTTGATTATAATTGAAAGGAATTGGTAATGGATATTGAAATAATAGAGCAAAACAACATCTTGGACTAAGCAAGGCTTCTGTTAAATTTCAAGCCATATTCTCTAAATTTAGACAAAGAAAATATTTGCTATATTATACGGGACAATCAGACAAGGCTGTCACTCTCTAAAAATCTGATTATACATTATTCTCTGGATTTGGATCTCTTGCTTTATTTTAATTTAATTTTCTTGTTTGGACAACAACTTTTTAGATCTTTTATCAAATGGATTATGATTTTATTGAAAAGAATAAATAAGAAAATAAGCTTGATGAGACAAAACCTAGGATTTTTCATTAGCAAACCACTGTTTTAATTTCTCACAATAAATATTACTTTGGGGGGGATACATCTCACATGTTATATATAATATTAATTACAACATTTCTTAGTATTTTGGTTGGAATAAAAAGCCTTAAAGAAATAATATTTGCATCAGTTCCCCTTCATAATCAAGATTACCATTAAGAAAAAGAATAGAATAGAATAGAATAATAACTTTATTGTCACTTTGAATGTACACCAATCGGCATACATTAAAATGAAATTTTGTTGCATACAGCTCTCAAAGGGTCACCACCTCCGATATACACTACATAAATATGACAAAAATAAATAAATAAATAAATACAGAATTATGCATATACCCCATATATTATATGATACAGAGAAACAACAGTCTAGTTCGAGTTATGTATACATGTGCATAGCAAGAAAAACGAATCTTGTGAGTTTACCAGACGGATGGCATAGGGAACAAAGTGGATGGCTTTTTTTAAGAGCTGGTTTTGTACAAAATTTATTGTATTATGCCACTTATTACTTTATATTAATATATAGCCAGATGATCTATTGGCATAAATTTATTGGGTTTCAAACATTGTTATTTTAACTGTTGACTTTTTAACTTAACTTCCTTAATCTTTTAACGTGAGCATGATAAGTTTTCTTGGATTCACTGCATTCTTGGAGACATTTTTGGTAATCAGGGAATTGTGCAGTGTTTCTTGGCAGGGTTTGCACTGATCTGTTCCAGATCCCCCTTAAGCTACTGAACTGTCTTTTTCCCCATAATAGCTACTTTAAGAAATATCCCAGCCTACACAGGAACATACTGTAGCTATTGAGCATTCCTCAAAGAAGGACACTCCTTTGCTGTCATTGTTTTCTATCTGAATCTTTACTAGGCTAGAGGTCTTCAAATGCTTCTCAGTGACCTCCAGCTTTTTCCACATGCAAATGATTTTCTAGCCCAGGGCTTTTCAACCTTTTCACAGATTGTACCACTTTAACGATATGGCAATATTCGAGTACCACCAGTCGCCTAGCAAGGTGTCAAAAACTTGACCAAAAAAAAAAGGAACAAAGTGATAAAGTACAGGTAGTCACTGACTTACAACAGTTTGCTTAGTGACTGTTCGAAGTTACAACGGCACTGAAAAAAGTGACTTGTGACTTTTCACATTTATGACCGTTGCAGCATCCTCATGGTCTTGTGATTTACATTCGGATGCTTGGCAACTGATTCATATTTATGATGGTCACATTGTCCCAGGGTCATGTGATCACCTTTTACAACCTTCTGACAAGCAAAGTCAGTGAGGAAGCCAGATTCACTTAACAACCATGTTGCTAATTTAACAACTGCAGTGATTCACTTAACAAATGTGGCAAGAAAAGTCATAAAATGAGGCAAAACTCATTTAACAAATTTCTCACCCCTCCTCTTTTTATATCTTCTCCTCTCCCTCTCCTTCTTTTATATCCTCTCTTCTCTCCCCCCTTCTTTTATATCTTCTCTCCCCCCTTCTTTTATATCCTTTCTCACCCCTCCTTCTTTTATATCTTCTCTCCTCTCCCCTCCTTCTTTTATATCTTCTCTTCTCTCCCTTCTTTTATATCTTTTGTCTCCCCTCCTTCTTTTATATCTTCTTTTCTCTCCCTTCTTTTATATCATTTCACTCTGCTCCTTTCATATCATCTCTTTTCTCCTCTCCTTCTTTCATATAATCTCTTCTCTATCCCTTCTTTTATGCCTTTTCTCTTCCCTCCTTCTTTTATATCTTCTCTTCTCTCCCTCTTTTATATCTTCTCTTCTCTACCCCTTCTTTTATATACTTTTTCTCCCCTTCTTTTATATCTTCTCTTCTCTCCCCTTTTTATATCCTTTCTCTTTGCTCCTTTTATATCATCTCTTCTCTCCCCTTTTTTATATCTTCTCTCTCCCTCCTTCTTTTAGATCCTCTCTTCTCTCCAATCCCTTCTTGTATATCCTTTTTCTCCCCTCCTTTTATATCCTTTCTCTCCCTTCCTTCTTTTATATTCTCTCTCCTTCTTTTATATCCTCTCTTCTCTCCCCCTTTATTTTATATCCTTTCTCTCCCCTCCTTTTATATCTTCTCCTCTCCCCCTTCTTTTATATCGTTTCTTCTCTCCCCCCTTCTTTTATATCTTCTCTTCTCGCCTCCCTTCTTTTATATCCTTTCTCTCTGCTCCTTTTATATCATCTCTTCTCTCCCCCTTCTTTTATATCCTTTCTCACCCCTCCTTCTTTTATCTCTTCTCTTCTCTCCCCCTTCTTTTATATCCTTTCTCTCCCCTCCTTCTTTTATATCTTCTCTTCCCCTTCTTTTATATCCTTTCTCTCCCTTCCTTTTATATTGTCTCTTCTTTCCCTTTCTATCTTCTCTTCTCTAACCCTTCTTTTATATCTTCTCTTCTCTCCCCTCCTTCTTTTATATCCTCTCTTCTCTCTTCCCCTTATTTTATATCCTTTCTCTCCCCTCCTCCTTTTATATCATCTCCTCTCCCCCCCCTTTCTCTTCAGTGCACTTCCAGCTGACTGCTCTCCTCAAGGCTGTGCTTTCTTCCCCCCTTGTCTTTTTTTTTTCTCCCTCTCCTGCCAAAACCTGCTCCTTTTATCGCCTTTCCTCTCTCCCTTTCCTCCTTTTCTCTTCTGTGTGCATTGGAAGCACCAATCAGCTGGAGCAGCAAGACCCAGGCAACACCTCGTGCAGCTCCATTTGAATCTCCGCCTGAAGATGGCGTGGGGCTGCCTGCTGCCGCCAATCAGCTGGAGCTGTGCGTGTGGATCCTTGGCTCTCAGCAGAACCCAGGCAACACCTCACGCAGCTCTAGTTGACTTTCTCACAAGCCTGTGCGGTGCTGCCACTGCTTCACCTCATCCACTTTTACACATCTTTTTACACTTTTTTTTACAGTGCTTTTCAACCCAACATACGCATACCAACTTTCAGGTGCTGACATACCACCAGTGGTATGCGTACCACCGGTTAAAAAGCCCTGTTCTAGCCTATCCCCATGAGGCTCTGGGGCTTCCAGTTGTCTTGGAAAGCCAAGCTGAGTAACACCACAAGTCAAGTGATTTGGCTCCTAGTCCAGAAACAATAGTTTCAAAATGCCTTGATTCAACTGAAAGCAGGATGAACACCCACACTCAACTTTTGTAGCATTCCCCTGCCCTTCCTCCAGAAGCCGATGCCCTGAAGTGCCCTTGCTTCTCTGCTTCACCTTTCTTCTGCCAAATGGAGGTAGAGATAGTCTGGATGTTGGTTTTTTTTTTACCCCTCTCTTACTGGGAAGCTAAAATGGTGAAGTGATTTGCATGGGTGGAGGGCCAGTTGCTTTCTGTTTCTGATATTTCCCTATTTACTGACTGGGAAGACCACTAGCCAGGGCAAGATGGGATCATTGCTGGATGATTATGGCAATGGAGAGAAAGCTGGCAGGTCCTCTGGGCAGTTTTAGTATACAAGCAAATATATACAAACAGTAATTCAAGCAATAGATAATTCAATGGACTAGATACTCTAGATGACATTATCTGATTAAAAAAAATATCATTTGGAATTCCTAATAGACAGAATAACTCTCTATATATGGATTTATCTGGTGACAACCGTGGATTTAAGGAGCCATGGTGATGCAGTGATTAGAATGCAATATTGCAGACTGAGTCTGCCCACAGCCAAGAGTTCAATCCTGATGGGGCTCAAGTCTTCCATCCTTACAAGGTCGGTAAAATGAGGACCCAGGTTGTTGGGGGCAATATCCTGATTCTGTAAACAGCTTAGAGATGGTTGTAAAGTATTGTGGAGCGGCATCTAAGTCTAAGTGCTATTGCTGTTGCTATTGCTATTGCTACCTGGTAACAATCATGACATATGAAATATTGTGGCTTGGAATATAAGAATAAATGGTATAAATGAATGTATTCACGAAGGTGAAAGTGCAGGTTTGAATGACAGACTAAAATGTTTCCCAGGTAGTATGAACTAGTATTAGCTGGACTGTTGTGGGTATGTATAAAAGTAGAAATTCATAGCTTGTTTTTATAGTTGCATTTTATGCTGCAATGAACAGTGAGAAATGAAAGAACCTGGGATAAATTTTCAGAAAAAAATTGTGCAACATTTTACAAGAATGTGATCTAAGCAAGTAGTTCTTTTGTTAGGTGACATGGACAGACAGGTGGGAATGAAACAAGAGAATACAGAAAACTGATGGGTCCATTCAGAACCCCATTGGTGAGCATCTATTTACAAAATATCTGTTTTGAATATGTGGTATACACATAAGTCCTTGTATATAATGGTGGAAAAATTATTATAAATCTAAAAACATGATTGTAAGTTTGAGAAAATTGGTGAAGGGTATAATAGTGCTAAAAGGTTCTGAAAGTGATAGAATCATGAATGAATATGGTTTGAATAAAAGAGTTAGAAGCAGTAGTTTGGTGAGGTCCAAAGATAATGAAGATAAAGATAATGAATAACGATAATGAATTACATGTAATCAAATTACAAAATAATTATATTATAGAAGATGAAACATCAACAGGAAAGGGAAAATTTTTAAAAAATCCTGGACTTGATGAGATCTTAAAAAAAACATGAAAGAAAAGACAATTTGAAGAACACAAGGCAATGTGGTTATGGATGTGGGGAAAACAAGGGTGGTAACCAAGTATAGAAACAATGGAGAGGGAGACTGAATTCTTTTAGTTTAAACCAGTTGTAACTATTTTCCCTTTTTCTTATCTCATGCTTTGAGGTTGTTTGTCTTTTCTGCACTAAGCATAAAATGTTTTATTGTAAAGGGAATAGCGTAGTGGGTATGTTTGCAACTTTTCAGTGTCTAAGTATCACATTGTCTACTCATACTATTTACCCTGTTTGGATATTTGTAACGATAAACACTTATAGATTTTTATATTTTTGAAGTGGAGGACCAGGATAATTGGGGACCCTCGGAACTCCCGGAAGGTACGGAAGGTGTGGTCCTATAGGAACTGGGGGTCGAAGTGGGAAGAAAGGAAACAAAGGAAAGTTAGGACATTTTATCTTTTTTTATTATGAAAAAAACATATCACAATAATCTGACACACTGGACCCCATGAAGTCTCCATTTGATGCTATTTCATAAATATTTCAGATTTGTAGTATGGATTCCTAAAAGGGTCAACAAGAGGAGAAGAGTGGTATTTTTTCAAACGTTAAGAATCATATTGTGAACATAGTTATATAAAATAAATGTGGACAACCTGATGTCTACAGGCCAAGAGTGGCCTTAAAGAAATGGCTGTCAATTAAGACTGGCTGGAACTTTTTGGGATAGGATGATATGAGTCAGTGAGCCAAACTGGGATGAATCCCCAGGGTAGTGTCTGCACCAGAGGGTATAGGGCTAATTTGTTTCAGTAGACTTTTAGTTGCCCAAAAACGTAAACCGTAAGTAAACATAAAGGAAATACAGGAAGCCCAACTAGGAAACCCAACTTGTCAACTAGGGCAGGAAGGCAATACAGCATAGGCCTAAATCATTAGAAAGGAACCTATACCTAAACCACTGATAAACTGCCCAAGTCATGGCAATTGGCAGTCCACTGGCCTCTGCTTGATACTAGCCTATGTTCAACCTATAACACAATGCTGATCAACATGCTAGCCATTTATATGTTAATAGTATTTTTACTTATATCATGAAAAATCTTGTGGTTGCTTTATAAAACAAATTCTGCACACCCATGCAATAGATAGTAATCAGGTCATTGCAATAAATGTTGTAATTCTCATTCCTTCCTCATGTATAATTTCTTTGTATGTTTTCCTACAATTTTTTATCTACTTGGTACTTGAGATACATGTAGAACAAGCTAACAAGGGACCAAAGCAACTATGGGACAAAGGTTCTTTTTTTGCTGTTGTCTAGAAAATTGTAAATTTTCATCATTTTAGTTCCTAGAGATTCCAAAATGTGTTATCTTCAGGTTCCCAGGCTAGATTCCTGAGAAATTAATGGATATATTTACTCTCCCTTCTAAGTACTTTCCAGGCCTGATCCTCTTAATACTGTCATCTGCTGAGACTTTTATGGAGAAGCATGTGCATGCTCTAAAGGAGTTCAGGGAGAGACAACAGGGATCTCTCCAGATGTTTTAAACTAGAGTTCTTATGATTAAATCCCCACAATTCCATAGCCCCATTAGAAATTATAGGCATTACAAAGCAAAACAACTTAGAAGGCTACACATCTGCCACATTTAAACTTATTACTGCAGATTTAATTTAATTTGGTGATATTGATGATGTATATTTTTGACATGATAGCCAGCTTATTTATTTAACTCTCTTACTGAATTAAATCCATAACTAGTTGGGTTCACTCAACATGGCAAGCCGAAACCAGATCAAAAGACAGACATATAAGATCTTATTGTAAGTGGTGAACTCAAACAATGCATACCATCATTATGTTATTTCAAAACTGTTTAAGGTAGGGAGAGCCTTAGATCATGGCTTCTGGAATTCTTTCCAACTAGCAGGAATGATAGGAGGTGTCTATATTTTCTTCTGTATAACAAAGTAAAATGTTGTATCTGTGTAAATATTTCTGCACTTGCCCTGTTTTGTATCTCTGATTGTAGCTCCTGATTGCATTGGAAAGCAAGGGCAGCAGACCACATATGCTCCACTCTGGGCCACATGGCCAGGAGAAAGGAAAGAAGGGAATGAGCCAGTCAGCAATGTTCCAAGATGTTGTCCACAAGGGTTCTCTTTGGCAATGGTTTTCTCTACATATCCAAGCCAGTCAATTTTCAAACCCAATCTTTCCTTTGCTAGCCTCTCCTTTCCACACCAAATTTGGTTCTGCTCTGTTCAGTTGTGGACAGAAAAAGTCTTGATTCCCTTTACATAATTTCTTTCCAACATTCTATTTAGTTACAAAGAAGAACAAAAGTCTAATAAGAACGTTGAGTCACCCTGGAGCTTAATTATAAGTGTGTCTGTGTGGAGAGAGAGAAAGATAGAACGAGTGGGCTGCATTCTGAGTAGTCTGAACGTTGCAATCTTAGTTTTCCATCTGGAAATGGGAATCATTATCATGGTTTCATGATAAAGATCCTGAATAAGTTAAATATGACAAACTTACAAAGCACTTGACAATTTAGGAATTAGTCTATCTTAATTAAATAGAGCATTCAGTCATCTTCTGTAATGATATTGAAATGCATCAAAACTATTGTAGTAATTCCTAAGCGCATACAACTGTTAATAAATCTATTTTCTAGTTAGCTATTTCATCTGATAATGAATTATTCTATGTTATAAATGCACTCATGTACACATTACATATGCATAAATACCTGGTGGTCCAGCAATTCCAGGGATTCCTTTAGAACCTTTACTTCCTGGCAAATTTATAGCATCTCCTCTGTCACCTATGAAGCAAGAGATATGTTTAATTTTACCAGTATCCATCATTTGAATATATTTTAATGTTAAAACTTGCCAGGGAATTTCTTACTGTACACATACTGATCTAGAGAGACATTCTACAAGATTTTTTTCCCCAACAGATGGAGACACTTTGACTCTTTGATTGGCAAAGGTCATCTGATTTCCCAGACTGGACTGAGAAGTACAGGAACAAATTTTTGGAAAGAAATTATGCCAATATTCTGAAATGCCAGCATGATAGATCACAGGGTAAAAAATTAAGGAATCCCTTTCCCTTAGCTATTCCCTCCCATGTGTCCCAAGCAGATATTACATGATGATAAAAACTCTCTCAATGTTTTCTTATTCTTTATAGAACTTAAAACTAAGAAAAATAAAATTCAAGTTATAGACCGTGTCCTGCAGGAACATTCCTGCAGGGCACTCTGGTAATAATCTGCATCTGCCAATGGATGGGAACTTTTAACACTATGTATGAATGGACATCTAAGTTATCACTCTCCCAACCTTTTCTAGGAGACCTTTTTCTTAGAAGTCTGAGATAGCAGATATTTCCTGCTTATAGGATTACCTGTTTTACTCATGACGTGCCAAATTTTTTGTAAGATGTACAAATGCATTGCCCTAAGGTAGGCCATATAAAAAGGGTTAATTTCAAGAAATATCTTGAATGAAGGTGTAAGACCTTTGATTCTATGGCTCCCTTATGTCTAATCTGTGTCATACTTTATTCTGTGCATGTATTCTACAATGTTAGAGGAAAATGAAAAAAATCCCAAGGTCTATAAAAAACAGAAGTTCCTGCAAGAATGAAGGTAGAAAATCAGCTTTTTTTTCTTAAATAAAGTATAAAAATTAAAAAATAAATTGAATTAGAAGACAAACACACATAACCAAGATATTCAACTTTACTCAGATAACAACACCAACAAAAACCCTCATGAGTTTAGTCTTGGTCATGCCTGTGAAATTATTTA